AGTAGTAGTAGCAGTAGTAGTTATTGTTGTTGCTGTGGCAGCTGTATTGTATTGCTGTCGTGCTGTCTTTCCCGTCGGAGCTCTCTTAGTCATCGTCATCGTCATCCACAGTCAACCTCGACCAGTGCTGTCAACATGCGTTTGCTCCTTGTGTTGTTTGGCCGGTGGTCGCAGAGAGGATGGCCGCACCTGGCCGCAAAAGCCAGTACCGTTATACAAACTTCGGGTAAACAGACAGAACGCATTGGGAGCGGATTCTTAGGTCTAGCTCGAAAATGCCCCAGAAACCTGCCTTTCGCTTGTTCTGGATGTGGGCAAAAGGTGCGAACTTTGTACAAGAGTTGGCTAGTTGGCTAGGCTGCAGATATGCTAGCACTGTTAGGGCGGAGATGCTGTATCTTTCTCAGGCGTCTTCTTCACTGAAGGCATGCGCCCAGTGGACATGCATCTCGGCCTTGGAGTAGGCAAGTCCTCGCCCTTGCTGCGGTCGCTATTCGCATTCGGAAGATTCGATTTCTTCAGTGTCATGAGAAAGGAGGCATGCTGGTCATTCTAGCCGAGTCTAGCCATAGCTTCAAGTCCTTTTTTGTCGGTAGACCCGTCCCTAGTCTGCTAGAATGACTTACAGACCTCATAAACTCTGAATGAACCCTATGCAAGGGGACCGCGAGAGAGTTTGACGGATCTGGGGCTTGTGGGTCATGGCGAACCCAAGCCCAAACCTCGCGGGCATGTCCAAACCGAGCGCGTCGCTTCTAGGCTTTGAGGAGGGATAGGACTACATGGCATGGCCGCAAGAAGGTTTCATGCAGGCGGCTGGGGGCTTCAACTTGTCAACATGATCGAATCGATCGAAGTCTTGGAAAACTCGCTTGGAAGCGCCGGGGTGCTGGATTCTACGTTGGGATAGGGAAAAGCAGAAGGGGAGCCTGGATGACATTCGGAACTGCCCCGTCCCAGCTCAGCGGCCCAGAGGAGCTCTGAGAGATTCGCTGACCGTAGCGCCGCTTTCATGAGGTCGGCCATGGAGACGGAGGTCGCCCCTTTGCTCCTTGATGCGGTCTTCGTGTAAAAGCAGGAGTAGAGCTCAAAGAGCTTCTGCCAGGACTTGGGTGCCTGCAAGAAGCGGAAAGGTTCAACTCCAGGTCCGATGGGGTCTGACCAGAATAGTGATGCTGATGACGTGATCCTTTATTTATGTGGTATCGATGCCTGTGGGCGATAATGATGATGCTGTAACAGTCATGCCGATGGTTGCTGGTGGTTATTGTCCTTACCATATTTTCTTGCTGCTGTTGCTGCAGTTTTTGTTGCTCGTTGCCGCAGATGGAACATAGCTATGGTTGTTTCTTCGATTGTTCGTCGTTGATTTTGTTTTAGCCGCTGCTGCTGTTGCTGGTGCTAGTACTGTTGTTGCTCCGGTTGGGGGATGTATTTCGCCATGGCCGTGTAGCACGGGTTCTACCAAGGGTCAAGCAATGAATGGGACTGTCTCTTCAGTGTCATGTTGCACAGCATGTAAGCCTCGTAGGTGTTGGGCTGCTTTGAGGAGTCTTTTGGGACTTACCTTTAGGCTTTGGCATCGTAGTTTTCAAGCCCACTTGCACATTGCTCCTGGCCCTGCCGCCAGGCTCGGAGATTTGGTGCCGATGCAATCATCAGGGTGGCCTCTTGGTTCGCAGATCGGTCTTGGCAAGGGACACAGAATGCTAACAAGCTGAGTGGGACTCGTGCCTGCAATCGCCACGCCCTTGATGCTGGCATTCGTGCAAGCCCACTTGTAAAAGCATCTTGCAAAGGGGTGCTCACCATATGTGTGCTCAGGCATAGCGTGTAGACTGAAACTGCTGCTGCGACCACCGCCTCTAGCAATGTCCAATTCAGACTGTTGATTTGTCGGTGTCACATTTGTGCAGGGTTTTGGCATGAGAAGCTGTAAGAAGCACATGCTCTTCACAATCAGGTTCCAACCACTCGGAGAGCTTCGGTTGAGCATGTCAGGGTTGGGACAAGGAGTCCAGGCTCAAGAAAGGCATCCCATGCTTTCTGCTAGCAAAAAAAAATCCCCAGGCTTGGAACCTCAAGCTGAAAGGCATGTTTTCGACAGCAGCTCAGGACCAATCGTGAGCCAGGAGGCGTGTGAGGACCCCAATGGAGACCGAAAGACGAAATGCCAATGGCCTTGTGCTCAGCAGGATAAACGTGTTGGCGTCACGAAAGCTAGCAGAGCTGGGTTGAAGGGCCAGAAAGCTGCGAGCTACTGATTCCATCATGGGAGAGGGCATTGAACGGTTCACAGGATTTCTGCTGTTTTGGAGGATGGGGGGGGGCACTGGTGGTTCTTGGAGCGGGATCCCGTTTTGTTGGGAGGGAGGGGGGTGTCGACCGTCGACAGTGACAATATCAACACCATTTCTCACCCACAGTAGCAACAAACAACCACAAAACAACGCCAATAAGAGCAGCAGTAGCAACAAGGACGTCAAACAGACATACGACAACAGCATGAGGCAGCAATAAGCCGCAACAGAAGCGGTTAGACTATTGCGGACACTTGCAGTGACATTTTGGTCCAACATTCCATGTCAGAATTCGCACGATGAGTCCAGGATAAGCGAAGCTTTGGTTCGCTTCTTTTAGGTTTTTTTGGTGTCTTTCAGCCTCTCTCACTTGTCCATAGCTTGGAGAGCCTCGCACAGGCCAGTCAAGGGGCCACGTTGCCGTCTTAAGAATATATGTAGCATTAGCCTCAGTTGTGGCGAGTGCATGCAGTAGTCGTCCGTTCCCAGGGACGAGGAGCAATTGAAGTGCTTGCCGAAACTCGGCATTTTATGAAGATGGTGCATGTTTTCTCAAGCGGACAATGTAAGACAACATGATTGAGTTGTCCCAGCATCGTCACGCCTACGAACAGAATATCTTGTTTTTCGAGTGGCCTGGCATCTCCTTTTCTTGAGGCAAGGTTGTAACGGGCTTGAAGGTGGGGGATTCGGTGTGATGTGCAGGGGTCAAAGAAAGTGGTAAGTCCTAGACTCCTCGACAGGCATTGAAAGCATCCAGTGTGCACCTTGTCGGCTGTTTCGTGATGGGGGGTGTTGGCACAGCATCAACTGAGGTGAGGTAGATGTCCAAGTTAAAAGGGAAGCTGTTGGACACGTTGTTCATAAGGTCCTACGCATATTTGCAGTTCGGTTTTGTTTGTCCACGTGTTCCCAGACTCTGCTCGGCGATGTGTGTTCTGCTTGTCAGTATCTTTAGCATGCGGGACGAGTTCTTGCAAATGTGAGGGGCTTCGAGTCGTGGAGGGACCGAACCCAGAAATGATGAGCAGCTGTATTTGGTCTTCCCATGACCCCTGTACTTTTTTTCACCTGCCGCAGCAGAACATGCTTAGTTGAACTGTTGGACTTCTCAGCTCAATGTCAGCCTAAGGACGGCCCCGGCGACCAGCAAGTCGGAAGATATCTTCTCCCGCATCCACGAAGTCAGCGAAGATCTAAAGAGCCCGTACAGCATGGCAGGGCTCAGCATTGTGTCTATGTATGGTAAAGAGAGCAACTCAAGCAAAAAAGTGACTTAAGTGAGTGAACCAAGTAAATACAGCGAGTAGAGGAACTAAGGTGAACAAAGCAACCACCAGACAGATAAAATGTATACAAGTACTTCAGTATATGAATGCATACACGTGTGCATAAAAATTGTTGATAAACGGATACACCAATATGGCACATGCTTGTACTTACATGTTGTCATTCCCAGGATGTCGCCGCCACCTCTAGACAACGTTAATGCGAAGACCCTCCGCTCATTTGCTCTTGACCGTGAGTGGTTGCGTGGTGCTGCTTATCCTACTGAAAGACCGCAGGAGCTCATGCCACACTTTCGGTTTTTGGGCAGGGGGGCGGTGATGGCTTTTGCTCGGTTTCTACTCTGCAGCCGAGGAACGATGACACAAATATGTCGTTGCTTGGAAGCATTGTCCACAGCCCACGGTGCCGAGCTACCGGGGCTAGAAGGGTTTAACAAAAAGCGGTCCCGGAGCAATCAGCAGTGGATTCGACTTCATCGGTTCGTGTTGTTTAATCTTTGCAGACAATCTGGAAGTGCTTGTGTGACTGAGGCTGCGTGACCTTGTTACAAACACGTCGCTTGAGCTGCATTAGCTTGAATCTGTTGGGCTCTGTTCGCAGTGCTTGCTCTCGTCCATGTTAGCCTGTCAGCAAGTCAGGACAACGCCGGGGCTTCATTGGCTCCATCCCTGGCATGCTGTGAACTATGTCGGGAGCTGGTATTCTGCGACGACAACCACCACCTCAGAAGTACAGGAGGTGATGCAGCGAGAGTGGCTGAGCTGAGATCAGAATTGGGATTGGTGGGAACGCCGCTCTTCGCTGCTTACTTTGGAACTGTGTCTCGAGAGTGAGTGCATGGAATATCGGATTTCAAGTTTCACACCCGCTACTGTCTTCTGTGTGGTTCAAGTTTCCTAAGGTTGAACTTTGAACCCAAAATGAAGAGCCTTCCGCAGTCGTCGCTCGGCGACATTACGTGATCAATCTGCTTTGGGGATGATGGGGGCCCGGTGTCGGAGTGTTCCTGGTGAGACAGGTCAGAGGAGTCAGAGGATTTTATGCAGCGCGGCAGCAATCCCAACAACAGTACACTGCTGTGGTTTCTTCAGGCGCTGGGCCTTATGCGGGGCCTGAGCACACCAGATTGCCTATGTCGGGTGGCGGAGAGGAAGAGAGCGAACATATCTGCCATATCACAGTGATGCACCGCGCCCAAGATGTTGCCAGAGTTGCAGTCTTTGCTGTGCCTTGCGTCTCGTCCCGAGGACTGGCAGCGAGGAGTCCGACGTGTATACAACAACGCCTACGACGCAATCGCAGCTCGGTGCGGTAATTCAGTCCGAGTCTGAGTGCCAAGACATGACAGCGAGTTCTCTGCGCACCTCGGAGGATCCCACCAGCGACCACAACGCCGCTTGCCGAAGAGATCTGTGGTGATTTCTCTTAGGACTGTGAGGCAAAGGGTGGGCTTCCAATTTGTATGTGCAATCGNNACGGCAAAAAGGCTTGTAGGCTGGGCCATGTGGCTTGATCAAGCTATATCGCCGCTGTCGGGCTGGGGAGCCCTATGTCCACACACGCGCGTATCTGGCCATGTTCTTTTCTTCACTTTTCGTATCCGGAGAAGGGTTGAGGGGGGGTATGGAGGGGGGTTGGGGGGGGAGGGGGACGGGGGTGGCTACGACCATGTTACACAAGCCAACCCAAAACCCTGCTATTTACGGCGTCTTTGCCTGCTTACACCACATGTGCAGGGGGATGTTTGATGTTCAGCAACAAGAGGCGCGGTCACAAGTGTTCGTGCCATTTTGCAAGCATGCCCGCAATCCAGCTATTTCGAGCGATTTTGCCTT